CACAACACACACACACAACACACTCTCGCACTATAAAACACTCACGTTCAACACTACGGGTGTAACTTGAACCGATATATCGTCACGTCGTATCGTCAGAGTCTCACAGTCACATCGTGACCATCACAATCAAACTACAACACAGTAGTGATGGTGGTGCTCAGACGGATCGTTGTTGCCGATTGGCACGGCAGCCGCGCCTCTGTCAGTCTGCCCCAGGGCAGCTGTGGCTACAACAGTAGTTTACATCAGCAGGTGTAGAGTGAATGAATAATATATGCTGAATGTAATGTTCTGTAAAGTGTCTTTGTGACAGAAAGATCTGTGAAAAGCACTGGATAAATGGGGACTGACTTACAACAGCTAAAAAACACAGACAGGACTACATAGACCATGATCCTTTGCTCTGTTTCACTGCAGACCACAAGAAGAAATAACTGACCTGGTTTAGACCTGGTTTAGTCGTGGTTTAGATTTGATTTAGACCTGATTCAGACCTGATTTTGTCCTGGTTTAGTCCTGGTTTAGACCTGGTTTAGACCTGGTTTATTCCTGGTTTAGTCCTGGTTTAGACCTATTTTAGACTCATTTTAGACCTGGTTTATTCCTGATTTAGTCCTGGTTTAGTCCTGGTTTAGTCCTGGCAAAATGAAATATATCGTATCATCAAAGCTCTCACAGTAACATTGAACTACAGTAAATCAAACTACAAGTCTCTGACTTCTGGAGCAGCAGCAGCTAAAAAACACAGAGGAACTACATAGACCATGATGCTTTGCTCCACAGTGCGGACGACAAGAAGAAATAACAGTTTTCAATAGACCTTTTTTTACAACAGACGGACGTGTCCCACAGTAGATTTGTGGAACTCCTGGTTAAAGTTTTTTTGTGTAAATGTATGTGTGTTTGTGTGTAAATGTGTGTGTGTTAAATGTGTGTGTGTAAATGTGTGTGTGTAAATGTGTGTGTAAATGTGTGTTTGTGTGTAAATGTGTGTGTGTTTCTGATGATTCTTGTTTCCTCAGGTATAAAAAGTTTCTGGAGGATCTGACCTCAAACACCAACCCCCAACACCAGGACTATCAACAGCTGACACGTGAGTCCTGCTTCAGTCCTGGTTCAGTCCTGGTTTAGTCCTGGTTTAGTCCTGGTTTAGTCCTGGTTTAGTCCTGGTTTAGTCCTGGTTTAGTCCTGGTTCAGTCCTGGTTTAGTCCTGGTTTAGTCCTGGTTTAGTCCTGGTTCAGTCCTGGTTCAGTCCTGGTTTAGTCCTGGTTCAGTCCTGGTTTAGTCCTGGTTTAGTCCTGGTTTTAGTCCTGGTTTAGTCCTGGTTCAGTCCTGGTTCAGTCCTGGTTTAGTCCTGGTTTAGTCCTGGTTCAGTCCTGGTTCAGTCCTGGTTCAGTCCTGGTTTAGTCCTGGTTTCAGTCCTGGTTTAGTCCTGGTTCAGTCCTGGTTTAGTCCTGGTTCAGTCCTGGTTTAGTCCTGGTTCAGTCCTGGTTCAGTCCTGGTTTAGTCCTGGTTCAGTCCTGGTTCAGTCCTGGTTTAGTCCTGGTTTAGTCCTGGTTTAGTCCTGGTTCAGTCCTGGTTCAGTCCTGGTTCAGTCCTGGTTTAGTCCTGGTTCAGTCCTGGTTCAGTCCTGGTTCAGTCCTAGTTTAGTCCTGGTTCAGTCCTGGTTCAGTCCTGGTTCAGTCCTGGTTTAGTCCTGGTTTAGTCCAGGTTCAGTCCTGGTCTCATGCACTTTGCTCACACTTTCTTCTTCGCTGTCGTCAGGATTTTTCCTTCAGATTTTATTATTTATTGATGTGATGCTGGTTTAATTTCATTTGATCTTCGTTTTAATTAAACCGGGTCGTCCAGACGCGCCGGCCTCTTCCAGATCCTTTCAACGACCACAGAAACCTACATGAAAACCAGAACAGAACCAGGACAGATTGTTCAGTCGGTTCAGGTCGGTTCAGTTGGTTTCAGGTGGTTTCAGGTCGGTTCAGGTGGTTTCAGGTCGGTTCAGGTGGTTTCAGGTGGTTTCAAGTGGTTTCAAGTGGTTTCAGGTCGGTTCAGGTGGTTTCAGGTCGGTTCAGGTGGTTTCAGGTCGGTTCAGGTGGTTTCAGGTCAGGTTTCAGGTCGGTTCAGGTGGTTTCAGGTGGTTTCAGGTGGTTTCAGGTGGTTTCAGGTGGGTTCAGGTCGGTTCAGGTGGTTTCAGGTCGGTTCAGGTGGTTTCAGGTGGTTTCGGTTTCAGGTCGGTTCAGGTGGTTTCAGGTGGTTTCAGGTCGGTTCAGGTGGTTTCAGGTCGTTTCGGGTGGTTTCAGGTGGTTTCAGGTGGTCGGTTCAGGTCGGTTCAGGTGGTTTCAGGTCGGTTCAGGTGGTTTCAGGTCGGTCTTCAGGTCGGTCTTGTGTTCTCTGGTTCTGTTTTAAACGGGCTGGTGTGCTTCTCCTCCAGGGGCGGTGGGGGCGCTGTCTGAGCTGAGCCACCACATCCAGGAGAACGCCCGTCACCACGACAACC